GACACACACACACACACACACACACACACACACACACACACACACACACACACACACACACACACACACACACACACACACACACACACACACACACACACACACACACACACACACACACACACACACACACTGAGGACACACACACACACACACACACACACACACACACACACACACACACACACACACACACACACACACACACACACCGCTCACCCACGCGCACCGGGCCTTGCACTTTAAATGCCGTGGGGCTCCTGTCGTTAGACGTGGAGACGCGAGGGTCGCCCCCCCTTGCCCCACCACCTCGTGTGTGTGGAGAAGTCTACCTTACCTTACCTTACCTTAGCACGACCCACACGCTGCTCGAACCTCTTGTGGCAGTTTTGGATCTCGACGCGCGTCGAGAATAGTGCGATTTTTAGTGAACGATTTTTCGCTTGACCTCGGTGGGAAATCGCACTATTTAAGGGCAAAAACCGATTTGCTGTGGGGGCGTAAGGGCCCTACGCGCGGCGTGAGAGCTCGGAAGCGAGCTTTGCACGGCGATCGAGGATGGCACGGTTCACCCCCTTCACCGAAGCGATGGAGATGCGTTCCGCGTGGTGTGACACAAATGAGAGGCGGGAGTGGGGAGGGTACGCGGTGCGGTCAACGCCCGAGCGTTGAGCCTTGCGCGCAAGGCGGTTGATCTTTGCAGCGGCGAGAAGCCGCCGCCGAATGTCTCGTGGAGAAGCAGGTTGAACTTGTTTCGTTTGGTGAAGATCCCATCATGGTAGTGGCCACGCTGTGACTCTCTCTCTCTCAGTGTATGTAGCTCTTACGTACATTCCCGCTTATACTCTCTCTCTCTCTCTCCTCTCTCTCTCAGTGTATGTAGCTCTTCCGTACATTCCCGTAGGAGGACTCTGCTGACAGGGTTAGTGCTTTTTGTCGGCAATGTGTCGCCATTCTCGTCGGCACATTACGCCAGCGCAGCCTTGGCCCTTGAGATGACATTGATTGATTGATGGGAAGGCGAAACACAGATGGACAGGCCTGTGGAGCAAATTTGGAGAAAAACAAATGCCGACTTGGCCCCTCAAGTCCTGCGCCCATATGCCAGGCCAGAGCCCAGCCCTCGCAAGAGGTGGTCGCGGACGAAGGGGAGGTCGCGGACGTGGCCTTGGAGGCCGCGGCAGCCGTGGCAGTCGAGGTCGAGCCGAGCCTGTGTGCGATGACGATGTGGCATCGTGCGTCCTCTCCTTTTCCTTCGAGTGCGACGGCGGGAAGTGGGGCGTGCGGCTGGGCGGCACGCAGTACGCCGTCGTCGTCACCACCTTTGAGGGTGGACTCGCTCACGGCGTGCTCCGCTCGAGCGACGTCCTCCTTTCTCTCGGTGGCGCTCGCTTGCCAATGGGGCACGAGGCGGCGACGGCCGCCCTCAGGAAGGCTCGCGGTAGAGTAGAGCTGCTTCTGCACCGGGGCGGCAGGCAGCGCATCTCTGTACCGGCCGCCGGACCGGCGGAACTGGGCGTTCGACGCCGCACGGAACCGTCCTGTAGGCAGAGTGTGTTTGAGGCGGCTGCCGGCAAGTCGGCGCCTGCCCGCCTCTCGCGGCTGGAGGGGTTCGCGGCGGCGAGCCTCGGCGCTGAGGGCCGCGGGTTCCGCCCCGGGCGGAAGAGGCCGCCTTTGGATCCCGGACCCTTCCCGGACCCTTCCTGCAGGCTGCCCTCCGGCTGGGGAGAGCCGACTGCCGCAGCGGCTAGAGGCGCTCGAGGCGGCTCTCGGCGGGAGGGTCGGCGGCGGCGAGGGGCTGGTGCAGCGGCGCGACTCGTCCACAGGCGGAAGACGGCACGCGGGAGCCTCCTCGGACACCCTTCTCGGACCCTTTCCTGCAGGCTAGACCGACTGGAGGATCATGCCCTGGCCGCCTCCACTGCCCTGCGCAGCGGTGAGCTGCCCAGCGCGCTGCCGCTGTCGGCCAAGGCGCTCGCCGCCGCCGCCGCGCGGCGACGCGAGAGGGAGGGGTCGGCGGCGGCCTCCGCTGCGGCCTCCTCGCGCGACGTGCGGAGAAAGTTCCGGAACAGCCGTTTGGACGCGAACTCCGCTGCGGCTGAGCGGGAGCGGGCGGGGGAGGGGAAGGTGGGTGAGGGGAGCAGTGCGGAGGCGGAGGAGGCGCGAGCCGCCGCCGACCGCCTCGCCGTCACTCTCGAGGCCGCGAGGGCGAGGCACGAGCGGGCGATGGTGCAGGCGCGAGCCCCGAGCCGGTCTCGGCTGCTCTCGGCTCATCTCGGGCGATCTCGGGCGATCTCGGCTGATCTCGGCGCCTCTCGCTGGAGCAGGCGAGCTTCGAGGCGGCGGCGAGGGCGGGCAGCGCGGCGGGCGCGGCGGCGGCGGCGGCGGCGAGGGCGGGCAGCGCGGCGGGCGCGGCGGCGGCGGCGGCGGCGGCGGCGGCGGGCGCAGCGGCGGTGGCGGCTGTCGATGGTGGCGGGGCCTTTGACGGCGGCCGGGCAAACCCGTGCAACATGAGAGGGAGAGGGAGCGGGGGCGGGGCTGGCGACGGGCTGATGGCAGAGATGGAGGCGCTGCTGGCATTGGCAGAGGGTTCGTCGCGAGGCGACGGCGAGGCGGGGGCGGAGGCGAGGGCGCGGGAGGCGAGGGCGTTGGCGAAGGCGGAGGTGAGGGCGGCAGCGGAGGCGGAGGCGAGGGCGAGGGTGGAGGAGGAGGCAGCGGAGGCGGAGGCGGAGGCGATCAGGGCGAGGGCGGAGGAGGAGGCAGCAGCGGCGGAGGCGAGGGCGGCGGAGGCGTCTGCTCTTGCGGCAGCACAGGCGACGGCGGCAGCGGAAGCAGCTGCATTGGCGGAAGAGGCAGAAGCAGCTGCATTGGCGGAGGAGGCGGAGGCGGAGGCGGAGGCGGAGGCGGAGGAGGAGGAGGAGGAGGAGGAGGAGGAGGAGGAGGAGGAATCGGAGGCGGAGGAGGAGGTGGAGGAGGCAGGGTCGGAGGCGGCCGTAGACGAGGAGGAGGAGGCGCGGAGGGAGGCTCGGCTGTCCGCCGAGCTGTGAGCAGCGCCTCTTCACACCTCCACCCGTGAACAGGTCGAGTCTCAGGAGCTGTCCGACGTCGAAGAGGAGCTGTGAGCAGCGCCTCTTCACACCTTCGGGTGTGAATAGGTCCGGCGGAAAGTGCTCAGCTTCGCACACGAGAACATCGAGATCTGGCGCGCCCAGGAGCGCACTCTGCGGCTGAGCGCCGACAGCCACCACCGGGGCCTCCACACCGTGGGGCTCGAACCCCACGGAGTCGCAAACGCGGGCGGTGCTGCCGCGGGCGGTGCTGCCGCCCGCGGTGCATCCGGCGTCGGAGGCGTTGGCGTCGGAGGCTTTGGCGTCGCAGGCTTTGGCGGCGCCGGTTGCTTCGGTGTCGGCGGCGACGGCGGCAGCGGCAGCGGGCTTGGCGGCAGCGGCTTGGCGGCGGAGCTGCTGGCGGTGCACGCTCGGCCCCGGGGACCGAGCGGCGACCTCGAGGCGGGGGGCTCGGTGCGGAGGGAGAGGTTTGTCGATGCGATTGGGGTTTGCGCAGCGGCTGCCCATCCCTCTCGCTGCGAGCAGGTGCGGAGGGAGGCGCGGCTGGCGGCGGCGGCGGCGGTGCTCGCGTCGATGCGCGCGGCGCCGCTGACGGCGGCGGGGCTGCTGGTGATGGGGCAGGAGCAGCGCGAGCAGGCGCTGGGCGAGCGCGTGTACGCGGTGCGCTGCGGTCATTGAGGAACGGCTCACTGCATCGTGTCGAGATCTGGGGAGATACGGCGAGATGACTCACTTGCACCGTCGCCGCTTGCCCGAGACGGCGCTTCGGGGGGCTGCGAGCCGGGTGTCTCCACGCCTTTCGTTCTTTGGGGGCAGGTGCTGCAGCACCTCGACAGCCGTCACGCGGGCAAGATGACTGGCAGTCCCCCCCCTTGAGGGAGGCGCAGCACTGCCTGTCACGGACCGAGCTGTGTGAGTGAGCGCTGCGGGGGATAGGCATGATCCTCGAGATGGAGGATGTGGCGCTCCTGAGGCTGCTCAACATGCCGGACGAGGCGGCGGCCGCCGCCGCCTTCGCCGAGCTTGTCGACGAGGCGCGTCATCGAGATCTAGTCGAGACGCCTGGTCTCCCCACCCCCCCCTCCTCACACACACACACACACACACACACACACACACACACACACACACACACACACACACACAACACCACCCCTGCCGCA